TTAAAGCTGCTGAAGTGATAGCACACAAATGCTTCAAACCAACAGAATTGCATCTGGCTTATAGAACTTCATCAGGTCATTCTGCATTATTGTCTATTGTGCGACTTCCTCTTAGCCCTCTAACCTTTCATGCATTACTTTGAAACCACTTCACAGCATCGCTGTGCCAAATGTCACCTCTACTATTACACTGGACGTTGAAAAGTCTGGTTACAGAATAAGTAGTAAATCTATATGTGAACCATTGTCGCCCTTATTCGCTTTAGGTAGTTAGAGTCTTAATAGTTAAATTTTTCACACTAAAGTAAATTAAAGGGTTCAGCATATATCCCAAAATGATTTCTTACTTATTGGATTACAGTTTAGACTTCATCTGAGTCTTATTATACCTCCAACAGACGGAAGTATGAGATAAATCTAATCTCCTACTGACGCCTATCATTTCGTCCTGTAAGACTCAATTACTAGAACTTTTATAATTTAAAGACCCCTAAGGTGACTATCGTTATTAAGTCTGATTATTTCTTTTTTTCCTTTTTCCTAAAATATTTCGAGGAGATAATTAAGAATCAAAGGGGGGTTTTATGATATAGTCCATCATCATTCCACCATAAAAATCTTGATATTGCTGGTATATTCTGAACGTTTATTCTAAGCATGGCTGTTATATTTAGGTCTACAGTTGTACTGGTACATTCTCTGTGTAAACTTGAGCAGCGTTGTTTTACTTCATTCTTCATTTCACTCAATAAATGGGCCTCGAATTATTCTTAGTGATTTGCCGTGGTTACAAGCTCGATCCCTGCTAAATTATCCTGAAAATACCTTCCCTCTAAAATGAATTAATTATCCTCATTCATATGTGACCAGTTCCCATTCATTTTACCACAAATCTTTGTGTAAAAGGCCTCAATCCTGCAGTTCCTCTGACTTTTAAATTTTGTTTACATGGCTTGATCTTTTACTTCTGCTTCAGCCGGGGAGTTGAGTGTGTGCACAAAAGTGCTCATCTGTGATGGCTCTGCTACTGCTCTCTTGGAGCTTACTGATGAGCCCTCGGTATTTACCTCGCCGGCCGGTTCTTCAATGCATCCACCAAGCTTATTTCCACCGATCTGTGCCCAATCCTTTCCTTTTACTTGCGAACTCACAACTGAGCTAATAGGAGATGCGATGAAGAACACAAAAATGGCCTCGTCTAAAATCCATCAGGATAACTTGATGTCACACGGTATCCAACATTCAAACACCATTGCTGATACAAGTCGACATCTTTCACGCACACGTCGTCTCTTACGACTGGAAGAAGCGACTTGTGGAGCTGCTTGGGCGCGTTTGGAGCTTCTGATTCGCTCTCGCCTGGCCACCCTCCCTGTTGGTAAACAGCGCTGCTTCTGGCTACCTGACCAGACTAAACGTGACCCTAATAGCAAGTGGACAAATTACTGCCAAGTACTTTTCAATTTTTTATCTTTTTTAACCATATTCACGTAACCGTTAACTTATTATTTAATATCTCCCGAGATTTTTCCATACTACCATGGCATGCTAATAAACTTAAAACTAGTCCATTAGACCCTTACATTTGGTAGTAACACTTCACAAGGGCCCTTTATAACATTATATGGATGTAATAGCTCCTGATTCGTCCTTTTTATCAAATATCTTCGTCTTAAAAATTCAATTGATTACTGTATAGAAGTCTTCGCAACTTTATCGTATTGTCAGAGTGACCTAGGTGAACGAACCCTATCCGACGTCGTGTGCTAGAGTAATTATTTTTATTCCCAGCTTCGGAGCGCCTCTCGAGTAGATTTATAGTCATGTTGGCCTAACTTCTATTCCTCATGCTAAATGTATGAATATCCTACCCCCTAGTCCCTTGTTTGCTAACCCCTCCAAATCTTTTAGCTGCTTACTTAGCTTGACTAGGCTCATTTATATTGTGGCTATTTCCAAAATAAGCTAGTACGTTTAATTGGTACAATTATTCAGATGCAAGCATAATCTAGCGTAAATTTTATTGTTTCAGCGTATTAATGTGTGTGCAAGCCAAATGATGCTCTGGGCGCCATGTATTATCCAATGTACAGCTGAATTTTTCCGAGCACTACAGACTAATATTTATCTTTTATTTGGGTTCTGAGTGCTGGGGTAAACTAAAAACGTGTCTTCAATTTGTCTCGCTTTATCGCACAGGAATTATTATTAAATAAAATTAAATAAGAACTTAGGGGAATTTCGGTATCCAAGGCAAAGGTATTTTTTGTTTTTCTTGTTCAAAGCTGATATTTCATCAGTGTAATTAGAGCAGTCTAAATATAAACAAAAGGGAGGTCTTTGCTAATTTGATAATTACGCTAAATGTCTTTTTGTTTTTCACTCGATGTCTGGTGATGTTTTG